ACAAATTTCAGTGAGTATTAAGAGATAAAATTTACTCTATTAAGCATCTGTGTGTTCAAATATCTTCCATGCAGGGAAGCTGTCACCCTAGGAAATCTTTAAAAAGAAAATCAATGTTGAAAATTTTGCTATGTATTTCTTATAGAAAGTAGTAATTGAGATATAGGTATATAAAATTCAAAATAATATCTGATTTACTCAAAACTGGTCTACAATTCCAGCTCCCTAGAATAAACCTAAATATATCAATTGTTGAAGAAATAAATCCATCAACATTTGCATACTAAAAGCCTCTGGAATCAAACCTTGGGACACTGGATTTTATGAAAATATGACATAGTGATGTGAATCAAAGAAATTTACAAACAGGCTTATATTTTAGTTTATTAAGTTGAAAACTGAATTTGTTTTTCTTTTATTCCAGAAACTATTCTCTTAGATAATATCATTCCTACAGAAAAAGTGACATTTGGTACAAATAAGCTTCAGACCTGCTACAAAATATTGTGTGTTGGAATTTTTGTGTTAACATTAACGTCCTTTGCACTGTTCTGGGCTTAAACTGAAACCAGATGGGAGGCATTTTGTAACACCATCATGATCTCCATAAATTCAGGAATGTAATGCCATTCAAATCCCAATAAACCAGTTAGATCACAAAATATCATGATACGAATGTAGGCTTATGAAGACTGACAATTTTTTTGCAACACAAATTCTGTACTTCCTGGTAGCCCAGACACATGTCCTTTAGATTTTTATATACAGTGATAAGTTTGAAAGTAAAGATATGTTTTATATAAACATATTTCAGAACAGAAATTTTGTAACTTCCCAGTGCCATAAAATATATATTTTGGCCAATAAGCATTTACTATCAACTACTACGTATGAAATACACCTTCGCTGTTATTACAGAGCTTCATTTGTTACATCTATTACTGCATGAGAGAGAAATTATTTCTTCATTTTTCATATATACATATATATCTTCTCTTTCTGCACAATGTGTTTTTAACTGAACACATAACCACACCAAAGGATTAATATAAGCCTGGAAATTTAATCAAGGGATTACAGAAATACACAACTTCATGCATTTTATTTCAATATAATTTTGTGTAAGGATGTGTTTTGCTCTGTGTTTATATTATCTTAAAAAAAGCATGAAAGATTCAACCATTTATCAGTGTAAGTGGTTCACAAATTCATGAATGGTAAATGCTCATAATGGTAAGCAATTATTTGTTACCTGTCTAATTTTGTTGGACATGTAAGTAAAGAGGACAATGGGTATCAAAGTACGAGAAGGTATGGGCTCCAACGAAGGATTCTCATTCAGAATGATCAGAAAGTGGTGCCATGAAAGAGTGAAAATTCTTGAAGTTTTAGTTTCCTTTCTTAGTAAGATCCTCAACTGAAAAAATACATTTATGAAAACTGGACAGATTCAAATGCATCACTCAATTTATGGGCAATAAATTATTCATAAAAGAATGAACTGTTTACACACATACATGTAAGTTATAGGTATGAAAGGTTTATACTACTAATATTATGTTACATATTGTCCATTGCCTTAGAGAAATTTCATGTATACATCATTTTGTGATTTTGTTTTATTGCCATTTACAGGTTGACAGTTATCATTATACTCACAAGGCTTTTATTACGTTTTTTTATTGGTTAGTTGTATTTGCCCAGCATTCAATTCCAACTGCCAACACTAATATTAGAATAAAAAGATAAATTCTCTCTATATAATAAATACTATAATGACAAATTACCAGAAGATAAAAGTAGAGTCAAATACAACAATTTATTATATCAACTGCAGCTCAGAAAATGGACATTGCACAACAAAGAGTAACATAATTGGCCATATTTTTTTTATCACAAACGTTTTGATATTTGTAAGATTTGAGGTTTTCACAGTGGTGAGTATGAAGATTTCTGTCTTCTGGGTTGTTGCACTCTGTAGTCTGGTTGATGTTATCCAACGTTTCAGAGGTCATACTGCCTCCGTCATCAGGGCGATAAATGGTTGGTTAACATCGACCAGACTACACAGCGCAACAACCCAGAAGATAGAAATCTTCGTTTTGATACTTGAAAGAGAGAACAATGTTTAAAATTGAAAGAGGATTATGTTATGAATGCTGACTTTCAACAAACAAGATTTTCAACATTTGACATGTCTAGTCAAACGTCCAGAAAGACACTGTCCTTAAAACAACAGAAACTTGTAAACTTCATCAGGAAACATCACATTCAACATATCAAAAGTGTAACTTAGGAGAATTTAAATGAACTATTCTCCTAGCATCAGGAAACATTGATATTAAATGTTATGAACTATGACTGATATTTATAAAATAAGTACTAAGAGATTAAAGCTACGGACAATTCATGTTTATCAAATATTTTAGTGGGTCCATGATCAAATACCCCAACTGAAATAAAATAAGAATCAGACTCAAAATTGTTGATTTCGTCAACAGACACTGAAAGTTACCGAATCTTGAGATTTTTAAAGGTAACTTCATGTGTATATTATTTTAAATTCTTGTAACTGGTTTTCAATGTCAGTTACCCTGGATAGCATGCTTTTACAGGTAATGTTATCATCCTATTACTTGATGAATGGACACGTCTGTGATAACAGACACAAATAATTCTGATCTGATTCATATATAAATAGATATCAGAATATACCATCTTCTTTCCACAGATAAAACAGGTTTTAATTGTAGCATATAAAATGTAAGTTGGTTTCCAATAAGTGTGATGTCTTTAAGATTACATATGTTGTCTTTCGATGTATACTAATGGATCTTTACTGTGAATACAAGTTAGTACACAAATCCAATAACTGAACAGTGTCAAGGGTACAGAGATGATTTATAATTGCCTATTTAAATGCGAACATGATGTGAAAAGTTTACAATGACCCTTGCACTGCGGAACCCCCTAGAATGAAATTACATGTATAACTGCTTCAGCTACCAAGAAAGTGTCTCGGAACATGTGTAGAAAGTGTGAGGCAGTGGTCCCCAACGCGGCACCCGCCAAGGCTTTTCTTGGGTACCTGCGTTGTTACGAAAAGAGGTTATACTGAATAATGAAGGCTGTCCAACCATGAACATTATAAAATCAAAGCATTGATCTCGACTTACTAACGGTCATCTTGACGATTGTTTGTGAGCAGCAACATCATCCTACACTCCCAAATTTGAAAAACTGGCCGATGAAATGCAGCGCCAAACATCACACTTGAGTAATAATAATTGTACTTATAAAACTACGTATTTTTGATTGCATGGTTTCTTGTATCATTAAACGTTGTGTTGTTTTGTGTATTATTTGGTGTCCATATCTCATTTGTCCAGAGGAAAGAAAATTTGGCTTTGTTAATTGGTTGGTGCCCGCCACAATCTCATAAACTATCAAATGTTGGGGACCACTGGAGTGAGGCATGCCTGACAGGAGGTGGAGGGCACTTTCAGCAGTTATTATGAAATATGTTAAGTTCCATCACCTTCTTACAATACATATTAACTTATGAACTTATGTGTGATGTGCTGAAACTGATATGTTAGTCATTGGCACTTACAGAAAATATCTGTATGTTGTTCTGTGTGTAGGCAAGTAGTAGTTTATCTTTGACATTTCACAAGATTGAAGTTTCCTTCTTCATTGAATGTACTGTAGAAAGTTTTTAGGATAAGAATTCCAAATACATATTTTTTAAAAGAAGGTTTGATATCTTGTTTGCTCTGTCATTCCCAATTACTGAATTAAAGAAGGCCAATGTTGCAGAAACATGCTATATTTCCCTGCTAAGGCAGTCATGTTAAACAAGTGAGCCCGTTTATAGCCAGCTGAATCAAGATCAATAACGAGTTTCTTATGACATCTTAAACACTCCAGAAATATGTCTTGATATTTTATTTGTAGTCCATCACAACATATTTCACAGTATATTAGATACAAATGAAAATGAAGGGACAGAATGATTACATTTATAAATATTTTAAAATCTCAAGGCTAATTATAAAAGTTTTCTTTTTACCCTGAGTTGAAATTCAGGCAATTAAAACTCTGGAGATTCCTTATAGAATTTATATTACTTTCAAATTAATTTTATCCTTCCATCATAATTTTTGCTTTGTACACATAATATTAACACTTACAAAATATGAAACGAAGAATGAATTCTGGATTATTTCAATCTAAGCCCTGCCTCAATTCAATGAACAGTTTTAAGTTATAGATAGTTTTCTCAAACTGAACTGACCTAATTGAGCAAATTCTAATATTGATAGAGTTGCCATTGCTTCCTGCAGCTAACCATACATAGTAATTTCTTCTTCTTTATTATGCCGTCTCCTTTACAGGAGGTTGGCGACATATTATGAACAGGATCCTTCCATCCTTTTCTCGGACTGGGACCTGATGCAGAAGTGGTTTGTCATTGCCTCCTTCTGTGTGTATGGAGCATGGAGTAATTGTTGGGATGCCACGGAGAAACCGGGGAAGCCCTGGAGGAAAACTCCGTGTTGCCTAGACCACGGCCTTGCCCAACACAAGTTATAAATTCGGGCACTGCCGGAAATCAAACCCGGGACCCCAGGATTACAAGGCCAGCGTTCTAACCGCTACACTACCATAGCAACATAGTAATTTGAATAAAAACAAATGTTTGTAATTCATTGTTAGTAACAGGAAGAAGGATACATGATAAAGTAACAATGTTAAAAATAAACCAAGCATATTAAGAAGTTAAAACTATTACTCATATTTATTATACAACTGTGATTATTAACTGCAGAATAATGTTATATCCAAACTAGGGTAATAAGTGATAAGTCAATGCATGTAACATCAATACTAGAGTACCAACACGTATGTAAATTGTTGGCATCATGTGCATAATTTTGGTAAGTTACACTGAGTGATGCATTTGAAACTGGCATTTCTCCACATAGTATTGCACTGACCTGGTGGAGCCTTGGCATACATATTGTTCATATCATCAGGTGCATACTTGTTCTTCTTTGGAAGTCCTGCTTGGCCACTGCCAGCCATAGGACATCCGGACAGGGAGCGGTGTGTGAGGAATGAACCATTGATGTGCCCTGTGCCATCGCAGCCTGGTGTTGGACAGTTCACTCCCTCGAACTTCATGGCGGTGGCTGCC